TACTGCTTTCCTTTTCAGATATTTATAAAAGCAACAATCTACAGCTAAGAAGATAACAGTCTTGAACAGTGTTTTAAAGTATTAAAATGTGAAACAGTGAGAGACTGTACTTTGGTATCTCTGTATAGTACTTCACTGAATATATTTATTTTACATTACATGGAATATGAGTTCTATAATAAGTTATCATCTCAGCTATGTCTTTCTGGGTGGAGATTACAGTGGCTGAAATCTTTCAAGCAAGGTCTGAATGCAGTATATGTTTTGTGAAATGGGACTACTGTGAATAATAATGCCAACTGCCAGCATACTATGAATAGGTATATGCCTCCGTATAGTCACTGTGCTTTGTGTCAATATAAATAATAACAAAATATTCTCAGAATGCTTTCTTCTTAACTTCAGGTTTCCTCTTCTGGGAAGAGGACTTTCTGTAACAAAAGGGCTCGATTGTGGAAACTACTTGCTAGCTCTCAAATCTGCTTGCCTTGGAACTGGCTGGTCTGCTGGAAGATATTTGACTTGCTGGAACACAAAGAGGCAGCCGTAAAGATAATCCAGAGATCTCTGAGCTATGACTCGTTTACAGGAAAAGTACTTCAATAATTTCAGGAATTTTAGACAAGTTTAGCGTGTTACGGGCAAACATCCAAGACACCATTAACTTGATGCACACTGAAATGTAGGTGCCCTGAAAAATGCACTTCTTTCACTTCACCAAGTATTTAGTTGACAGGCTCCTCCAAACAAGGATTTTGTTTCACAGTTAAATATTTTGGCAGTACTTTGTGTTGCAAGCCTAGCTCATACTGGGCTTGTTTCCAAAACTTCCTGTTGGTGAGGGTCAAAAGTTTTTTAAGTTAGCGGATGAGTAGCAAAGTTTGATGGTGTATTGGGTTTGTGTGGCAAGGTTTTGGCTGTGGGGGGCTACAGAGGTGGCTTCAGTGTGAAGACACTAGAAGCTTCCCCTATATCCAACAGAGTTAATGCCAGCCAGCTCCAAGATGTGCCCCTTGCTGGTCAAGGCTGAGCCAATCAGAGATGGTGGCAACATATTCAAGAAGGGGGAAAAAAACAACCTGTGCAAGCCAGAGAGAGGAGTGAGAATATGTGAGAGAAACAATTCTGCAGACACCAAGGTCAGTGAAGAAGGAGGGGAGGAGGTGCTCCAGGTGCTGGAGCAGAGATTCCTCTGCAGTCTGTGGAGGTTAATGGTGTAGCAGATATCCACCTGCAGCCTGTGGAAGACCCCACGCTGGAACAGGGAGATGCCCAAAGGAGGCTGTGGCCCTGTGGGAAGCCAGCATTGGAGCAGGCTCCTGGCAGGACCTGTGGAGACAGAGGGACCCACGGTGGAGCGGGTTTGCTGGCAGGACTTGTGACCCTGCAGGAGACCCACACTGGAGCAGTCTGTCCCTGAAGGACTGCACCCTGTGGTAGGGGCCCATGCTGGAGCAGTTTGTGAAGAACTGTCTCCTGTGGGAAGAATTTGTGTTAGAGAAGTTGATGGAGAACTGTCTCCCGTGGGAGAGATCCCACTCTAGAGCAGGGGAAGAGTGTGAGGAGTCCTCCCCCTGAGGAAGAAGGAGCAGCAGAGACAACGTGGGATCAACTGACTGCAACCCCATTCCCTGTCCCGCTATGCCGCTGGAGGGGGAGGAGGTAGAGAAATCAGGAGCAAGTTAAGCCTGGGAAGAAGAGAAGGGTAGGGGCAAGGTGTTTTTAAGATTTAGTTTTATTTCTCATTATCCTACTGAAGTAAATTAGTTTTCCCCAAGTTGGGTCTGTTTTGCCAATGACAGTAAGTGGTGAATAATCTCTCCTTGTCCTTACCTTGACCCACGAGCCGTTTGTTGTATTTTCTCTCCCCTGTCCAACTAAGGAGGGGGAGTGATAGAGCAGCTTGGTGGGCACCTGGCATCCAGCCAAGGTCAACCCACCACAGATGGCACAAACACAACACAATTCCAGACAAGCTGGGATCTTATGAAAAGAATCTGAGAAAATAATACTCCTATGTTTCAACCCTGAAGAGGAGAACAAAGCAATTTTTTAAACCAAAAATATGGCTATGTCTCCAGCTAGAAAATTCTGGTTTGTTGATATTATTAACACCGTTTTGTGTCGTGTTTTTTTTTTTTTTTAATTACTGTTATTCAGGTTTTGTTGTTATGGAAAATTTTTGGAAAGCAGTATTATATCTTTCTTCTTGGTATCAGCTGAAGAAAACGAGTAGGCTATCTTTTGAATATAGGGCAAGCACAACAGCAAATATAATGTGTGCGTGCCAGGATTTGGAGTTGGAGAGGCAATTTACAGGTAATGTTCAGGTCTTGCATTACACAGTATTATTTATTTAGTTTTCAGAAGTGTGACACCAGTTCCTTTTTACCTCTTCAAAGAGAACAAAAAGGACAAGTAACTTTCAGAACACTTAAATAGGGCTATTCACCTCTGGGACTCCCGTAATGGCAGAAAATCTGAAATACACATCATGAAGAAACACAGGACTAATTTTCAAAGTTGAACTGTCATGAACTCAAGTCAACAGTTTTTTTGCCTTCCAAATGGTTATTTATCACTGTTTAACAGAATGCCTATAAGGCACCCATATTTACAGTTGTGTAATGCTTAAAGGAGAACACAGCGTGCAGCTAGAGAAGACATGCAATTTATTCTGCTAGACCACAGAGGAAACAGGATGGAGAAGAGATTCTTATTGTATGATGCTTCTTTCTTATAAGGATAGTCTTAAAGATACAGAAAGATCTTGAGATTGTATATTTATTAGCAGGATACCCACTCCTAATAAAAAATTCTATACTCTGAGATCATGGGTACTTAAACTCAGCATGAAGTTACCTGGCTGCTGTGTACACTGCTGCAGCATGCTAAACTTCCTGCAACTGCCTCATATAAAGCAGGAGAAACCATTTTAAAAGGGTTTAAAACTAATTACAGGTAAAAACAGACAGTCATTCCTTAGAACTGCTTGTACACTTGACTTAATCTTTGAGAAGTCGTGGAAATTGGGGGACGTCCCAGAAGACTAGAAGGCGGCTAATGTCACCCTTGTCTACAAGAATGGGTAAAATCCAGGATCTAGGAAATTATAGACCTATCAGTCTTACATCTGGGAAAGTTATGGAAAGAATCGTCCTGGGGGCTATTGCAAGTCAAATGAAGCATGTGATTGGGAAAAGACAGCACAGATTCACCACGGGCAAATTGTGCTTGACAAACCTGATCACCTTCTATCACAAAGTAACTTGCTCAGCTGGTGTGGCGCGAACGGTGGACATTGGCTACCTGGATTTCTCCAAGGTTTTTGATACAGTTTCCCACAGCCTCCTCCTAGAGAAACTGACGTGTCGTGGTCTAGACAATTGGTCCGTGCGGTGGGTGGGGAACTGGCTGACAGGCTGCACCCAGCGGGTGGTGGTAAATAGCTCCTTTTCAAGCAGGCAACCTGTCACAAGTGGGGTCCCCCAGGGATCAATATTGGCCCAACGCTGTTTAATATCTTCATAAGTGATCTGGATGATGGGAACAAGTGCACCCTGATGAAGTTTGCTGATGATACCAAACGGAGCAGGGAAACAGACACTTTGGAAGGGAGAGCCACCCTGCAGGAAGACCTGGATAGGCTGGAAGAGTGGGCTAACAAGAACCTTATGAAGTTCAACAAGGACAAGTGTAAGGTCTTGCACCTGGCAAAACATAATCCAGGAGTGCAGCACAGGCTCAGATCTACCCGGCTGGGAAGCACCTCTGTGTAAAGGGACCTGGGGTTCCTGGTGGACAACAAGCTCAATATGAAGAACAGTGTGCTGCTGCGGCAAAGAAAACCAACAGGATGCTGAGTTGCATCAAGAAGGGCATCCAGCAAAGACAAAGAAGTCATTATCCCACTGTACTCAGCACTTGTCAGGCCATACCTGGATTACTGTGTTCAGTTTTGGTCCTTGTTATACAAAAAAGATGTGGACAGGCTGGAGAGGGTCCAGAGAAGGGCCACAAAGATGACCAAAGGACTGGGAAGCCTGACATATGAGGAAAGGCTGAGAGAACAGGGTTTGTTCAGCCTTGAGAAAAGAAGGCTTAGGGGAGACCTTATCACCATGTTCCAGTATTTAAAGGGTGGCTACAAAGAAGATGGAGACTCCCTTTTTACAAGGAGTCACACGGAAAAGATGAAGCGTAATGCGTACAAATCACTCCTGGGGATATTCCAACTGGACGCGCGAGGAAAAATTTTCACAATGAGAACAATCAGCCATTGGAATAATGTCCCCAGGGAAGTGGTGGATTCCCCAACATTGGACACTTTTAAGATTTGTCTGGACAGGGTGCTGGGCCATCTTGTCTAGACCATGCTTTTGCCAAGAAAGGTTGGACCAGATGATCCTTGAGGTCCCTTCCAACCTGGCATTCTATGATTCTTATTTTTTTCCCTTATCTTTTTGCAAGATTCTTATCTTGGCAAGCATACAGTTTTAGAAAGGAGAAATGTATTTCTAGTCTTCAGACTCAAGTCTCTGCAATTTATGTTACATGATGGCAGCTGGATATTTCTATTCAGATTATTAGGTACAGAATATTTAATAATGTTGACATTTACATGGGCATGGTCGGATTTCAACAGTTTGACATGAAAGAACAAATTAACAATAGTTTGAGATGAAAAGGCTATTTCCGCTCTCTTGCAGTTATTGTTTCAGGCTGTTTGTAAAGTACTGAAGAAAACACTCTTTAAAGTGGATTCACATTTTATAATGTTATCTCCAAACCTGCAAGAATGAGATACGTATTATTTTTATGACAAAACTGGTCCTAGAACACAGTTCTGCATTAAAATCTGGTATGGCAATTCTGCAGCATGCAAAATTACAAGGGTCACACACACCTAGTAGTTCATTACTGGTACTGATCAAGAAGCATCCTAGTAGCCACACACAATCTAAACATTTTGATTTTGTATCTTAAACATATTTTCTCACCTTAAACAGGGAAGAGAACACATGAAATGTATAAACTGCACAAGAACCATCAGAGTCGCACATGAGCTGGTTGATATGACTACGCCAGGCTTCTTCTGCATCATCACATGCTGCTGGCTGAAATGCAGCAAGGATGGCCGAAAAAAATGGTGAGGGAGGAGGGGAGGCACTGCGATCAACATCTCCAAAACTGAAAGGGGAAAGAAAAAAAGCATGATGAGAATACCAAAAAGGAGGCAGATAAAACACACTATAATAGAGAGATATAATCACAGGACCAATTACAGCACCTGTCTAAAAATATTGATGAACTTTCAAATTACTTTTGAAGGTTGGCAAGGTGTTGGCTACAATGAGAAAAACCTCAAAATCAGAATCCCTGTCTTCAGGCCATTATCATCTATCTTCCTCCATCCCAGAATACTTGAACTGTTTTATCGTACCATTATTTGGAAGAAGAAGGCTGAAACTTCTCAAACGGTAGAGCCCATGAAGAAAAACTTCATTTCTAGGAATACTTGTTTATAACAATGTATAGCAAAAATACAGAAAAGAATCTCAGCATGTACAAACATTATGTACACTGACCTGTTTGGTCTCCCCCCAGTGTAATGGATTGCAGAAGATCCATCCTTTCTCCCCACTGCTCTCAGGACAGAGCATTATTTTGGTACTCCATGGTCAGTGAAACAGGCTGACTACCATTTTTAAATGGTACTAAGCTACTTGATCTTGTGTATTATCCTTTGGGATGGAGAAATACTACCTATGGCTCCCAAGAACAGGAGCTGCGATTTTGAAATGTGGCACACAGAAAGAGAGTGAGCTTCTTTATATATCCTCATTCCTTTCTTTTCCATAAATATAAGCTAATTGCAGTTTAACTCAGCATCCAAGATCTGAAAGAGCTCTGTAAGGCATGGAAAAATCTTGATGCCTTATTGCCACACGCACTGGGATCCAGCCACGCTCACCAGCAGCCTCAAGAATATGCAGATGGGATTTTTGATAATATTGTGACTTCCTTATGACCCAGAAGAAATCAGAGGGATGAATACATGGTTCATCTATAAAACAGCTAACTAAGCAGTATTTCCATTACTGCAAATCTTTAAAAATCCTTTTTTCTTATCTTTTAATTAAATATATTACATATATAATGACTAACTACATGGATGTACATACAAATCATATCTTGTTTTTTCCTAGAAGGAAAATCTTAGGAGTTTTTTGAGTTGTGTGATAATTATGCAGCTAATGAGGGCATTGTCTTCTCACTGCTCTAAACTCATGAGAATTTTATAACTCCTGTGACCAAAACAGCCATTCCATTAACTAATACCGTTGTTATCACTTTGTTGTACAGTGTAAGAGAACTTCTACGAATAATACACAGGTACCTAGCAAGAGCGAAGTGTTCCAGCCTGTCAGCTTTCTCTTCCGTTTCTGTCATATCCAGGCTAAGGCTATCACTGCATTCAAAGGCTCCAGGGAGTTCATTTGTAGACCCTGAAAGGTCATCCTCATGGACTGCTGTATCTTGTTCTTCATGTACAGCTTCAACCTAGGGGAGTGAATGATGATGTCTTAGAAAACAGCAAATTAGTAAGTTAATTCCACTAATGAATAGAAAGCGTTTAATGAAAAAAAACACCTGATAACATGTTAAATTTTTGATCTACATATAAGATCAGATATAAAGCCACAGATTATAAATGACATGAATCAAGCTACACTTCTTCAAAAATAGTGTATTTGCTTAACTTGCTGTCTTGGATCAGTATAATTTTTAAGGCATTTCTTCAACTCAATTTGTCTAGCAAAGAATTTCAGATTTCAATGCATTTGGCAACATAGCAGGGAAGGAAGTATTGTTTCAGGAAAAGCAATAGGTTCTTATTACTGTCAGGCTGTCCTTGTCACTTACCACTTTATAGTGTTCAAGAGTGTGTTAAAGCCTCTCAAAATATACTGAAAACAATCACTGTCTGGAAAACTATATGCATGTTTAGAATTGAGAATTATATTTAGCACGTAATTTACATTAATAACTTCCATTCCAGAGGAATCCAAAGCATCCTACAGGCCATTAAAAGGACTCTCCTTCTATCATTTCCTTCCTTTTTCATCCATTAGCACCTAAGCTCTTGATTTCTTTTTAAACTTTCCAATTTCTCTTGCGTTTGTAGTCTGAACAAATTTTGTTTCAATTTTAATCTTTTGCCTTTTGTCTGCATCATCCATAGCATCTCTGCAAAGCAGTTCCTGTAGGGATGACTGCAGCATGTTGCTCAAACTCTTTATCTTATCTCTTTATCTTATCAGGTGTGTATGCATATGTGCAGTACATACATGTGTTGGGAGCTGGTAGGGAGGAAAATCTGTGGCAAGTGGAATTAAAAGAGAAAAGTGGCCTTCTGCAGGTTACCAGACTTGCTCGGATCCTACAAATAAATTCTGAGGTTTTGCATTTCTAAAAATCAAATAAGACTTGTATCAGAAAATACAGGGTCAGAAATTAAGTAGCAGAAAGTATTTTTGGTTTGTTTTGTTTTCTAAGTGAAAGGCATGGGAACATTCCTGAGTCCCGGGTGGATGAAACGTATCACAAATCATCTTGAAAAGAGAAATGGAAGCTATACAGCTGAATTATCAGAAGAGAAGTCAGAGCGGTTGGCAAGAAGTATAAATGTTTCATACTTCTTCAAGAAGTAGTTAGTATTAACTGCTTTCAAATATGAAATACTAGCTTGGAAGAACCATTGGTTTGTTCACTGCAATGACGGTGTTCGTGTGAGGAAAACACATTTTGATGGGATAGGGTAAGGGAAGAAGAGAGAGGAAGCAAGCATCTCCCAGCCACTGGAGTCCAATATGATCCCTCATATCATTATCCATCACTGCCTTCTAATTCCTTATAAATACCATCTTAATTACTGTGATCATTATCTTTAATAGAAAATACGTTTAACTAATTTCGTGCCATTAACAATAATACTTGGATTTTGGCACTGAAACATTTGAGAAGCCTACGTAATCAGTCTGTTGTTCTGATCACCGCATCTATTTAAAAGTTGAGGTGATATTTTTGCTTTTGCTTATGATGCAACAACTAAACATTTTTGTATGGCACTGAAGAAGTAACAAAATTTTTCCTCTACATTGCTGACATACCATTAGCTCTCTGAAAATAAGAACTCAGAGGAAAAGAGAAACAGGAAAGAGCTCAGATTTTGTGTTAGCAAATTAAGTAAAAATTATTTAGGTGCAAGTTCAAGTTTTCTGATGAAAAATTGGACGACTTGGTCCTTAAAATAAATATAAAGCCAGGCATTTTATCTTTGTTTATACTGACTCCAATTTGTTTTGAGTAAAAATACAGAAGTATACATACTAGAAGAAAAGATCTTTGAGGCAAAAAACCAGTAAGAAGTCAGTATGTGTAAAGTTTATAAATTCAAACATCTATGTAGCTCTATCAAATTCCTGTCAGCTTGGGTTATGTATTTCACCAATATCAAATCTGTCTCAAGACTAGCTGAATTTGCCTGTTAATCCCACAAGAAACTGCTGTGATTTTACATTCTTATTTACTTTTTCCAAAGTTTTTCACTTTTTGATGAACACTGGTGCATGGGTATTGGGACATTAAAGAAATTTTTACAGTAAAGATTCTAAAACCCCAGGCATACATGAAACTCATGAACTGTGACTTGCAGTTCTTAATGTACATACCAATAGCTACAGCAGCTGGATGCATGAGATTAGCCACAGTCACCACCTGCAAACATGTCTGTTCTAACTGCAGCTTCCTGAACTGAAATTCTGCCAACTTCTGCTGCTAATGGTCATTATGTGGTAACTTGTCTACCATCAGTTGTTTCGACAAATGATGAGTTTACCTTTCCCACAACCATTATTCCGAGAGGTTCCCCTCCTTCCCTATCCTTAGCCACATTTCCCTCCTCCTGTCCTTTCTTCCTCCTGGAGAGGTTTCTGACACAAACGATTTGTTCAATATTAAGCACAATTCCAATTTTCTTTTCTATGATCTCTTAACCAGAAGTTTCCATTACTTCTGTTATATGCGGTGCCAGCAGTACCGTATCATTTTGTGCGGCTGCATTTAGAGGGGACCAAGGGCAAGAACTGGAATGAAAGCCGATCATTACCCAAGGCATATTCTTCCCCTGCCCTGTTCTCTTACACCGCTCTTTCTCCAGAAGCCATCCGATTTAGACGTGACACAGAAAGCATTACTAGTAAGGCAACAGTGTCATAAAGCCACTATCCTACACACACCCCCTGGCCTAGATTATATTTCTGGAGAGACATTGAGAGGAGCAGGTTCACTTGATCTCCCACGAACAAGTATTATCCAATGGAAAATACAAGAAATCATCTCCACATTGATAATAATTTACCAACCTTACTCTATGTTCATCTTCTGATACAATTGTCTGAAATAAACTGTGCTGAACATGGTTGTCGTATCCTTGTAAATCCTGCCTCCCCACGCCCCCAAGATGGCTTAATATCGCAGTCATGAATTTAAAATTTCTGAGTGTCTGCCAAAAGGCAAAAACTGAGTTCAGTGAACACAACTGTACAATAGGTTCCCACATACAAAAAAATCTCAGAGAATACACGCATACACCCACCACATGGGTTGGCATATCGTTCTTTTAAATCAGCATGAAGAACAAAAGAATACTCCCTTGTTCATGAGCCAGTTAATGAGTTTGTCTTCCAATGAGCTTGTAGTATCTTGGTGCATATGTAGGGTAATATACTTGAGAAACAATAAATAAAATCTTTTTATGAAGCAAATGTAACTAGAAAGGAAAGAGAATGAATGTGCAGGAGAATACAAACGTACTTCGCAATTACATACAGGAAGTCAGAATGTACTTGCTTTCACAGATCAAACCCTTCATGAAAGTGTAAGCAAAATAAACTTGTAACAGCGTAATGTAAAATACAATCCAGTTGAAAAGAAAGTAAAAATGTATCCACCTTGGATCCTTCAGACACTTGGAGATTATTCATATCAGGCAAAGACACATCAAAGCTGGACGTTCCTATGTTAAAATGATGAGGGTCTGCTGAGGTTGTGCCACATGATGTAGAAAGTGAG